AATATTTATTAAACAACAATTAGGTGCTGTAGGAGTCAGAAATAACATATGATCCATGAGCTAGTCTTTCAAGAAAGTTAACAGGCACTTAGGGATACAGGACCAGTGGCAATAAAAGGAACTCTGGCAAATGTCAAGAAGGCCAACAACAACAAACACCAAATATTGCTTTCTTAGAACCTTACAAATCTTTCAGACATTTAATCTACTTTTCTTCATAATACACAAGTGAAATTAAATATTATCTTCATTTTAGAGTTGAGGCTGAAAAAAAGTTATGATTCTCCCAAAGTCCCAAAGCTAGTATAAACTGAGACTAAACCAAAAACTCTAACATAACCCTATGTTAATCTTCAGTACCTGCTACCTGTATATGTGACTTACAATATGGAGAAGCACCTCTTTGATTGCAGGGGTTGCTCAATGTTAATTTAATATTTTAAACTGTAGCTGGTGTAGGAACAGAGCAGAGAGACAGGTTAGGAGATTGAGACATGCCAAAGCCAGAAACATAGGTCAGATAAGAGGTTAGCAAGAAGGCATGTAGTTATACAGTATGTCCAGATCCACAAATCACTAGGCCTTAGGGAAGAGAAAAAAAGGTCACTCTCAAAAGAGGCAACAATATGGGCACAGAAGTGCTCAGATTGTCAATCATTCAGTATATGCTCCACTCAGAGCTCATATGGAAGAGTATCATAATAGAGAAATCAGATACTGAGATCTGTGTAGAAAGAGAATAGTGTTGAGGCTATTAAAAAAGAATAAAAATAATAAAAATAAAATAAATAAATAAAAATAAATTTAAAAAAAGAATAAAAATTGAGGTGCACTACCGTACTTTCTTTCCTTTCTTTCGATCATCACAACAATCTTTTGTGATGATAAAAGGAGTTGAGAGTATTTATGCCTGAGAGAAAGTGACAAAAACGTGTAGGTGCACTGGAAAAGCCAGTTTGTAATTCAGGTAAAGGAAGTATATTCGTTTGCTTGGGATACCATAACCACCACCACAGGCTGGGTGGCTTTTGTTTCCTCACTCACTGTTCTGCAGGCTAGAACCCCAAGACCAAGGTGTCGGCTGAGTTGGTTTCTTCTGAGGCCTCACTCCTGTTTTCTCTCTCTGTCTTGACATCATCTTCCCTCCAGGCCTGTGTCCTAATCTCCTCTTCTTATTAAAACAAACAGTCATAGTAAATTAGGGCCCACCCATGTAACCTCATTTTACCTTAAATCACCTTTTTGAAAGACCCTATCTCCAAATATAATCACATTCTGGGGTACCTAGGGACTTCAACATTAGAATTGGGGGGAGGAGGAGGAAACACACAATTCAGCCCATCACAGGAAGAGACTGAGAGGAAGAATTACTTCAATATTAGCTTTCTGGAATTTGCAATGAAATTAGGTTACCGAAATAGAACCATTTAGGAAGCATTTTGAGATACCCAACAAAATTTACATACTAAAAGATATTACTTGAAGCTGTGAGACTTCATGATTTCTACAAGAGAAAAAGTGTAGAGAATTAATAAATTTAAATTTTAAAATATTTATTTAGCATGTAATAAAAACAAGGCACTGTGCTAAGAACTAATGCAGTACATAAAAATGAAGATACAGCATTACTCTCAAGAAATGTACACACTATAATAAGCAATAAACACAACTTATGCACATGTGAATGGCGTAGTATAAAAATGGCCCTAAAAGAAGACAAGTGAGTATTGAGGATTTTTTAAAATACATTTTTATTAATTTCAGAGAGGAAGGGAGAGGGAAAGAGATAGAAACATCAATGAGGAGAGAGAATCATTGATTGGCTCCCTCCTGAATGCCCGCTACGGGGGATCGAGCTCACAACCCGGGTATGTGCCCTTCACTGGAATCGAATTTGGGACACTTTGGTCTGCAGGCCGGTGCTCTATCCACTAAGCCAAACCAGCTAGGGCAAGGATGTCTTAAAAAGAAAGAAAAAAATATCAATGTTGAAAAGGAACAAGCATTGAGTACAGGACTAAGGCTTAGGGATAGTTTTTTTCTATCATTAGTGGTGACCTTTGCCTGCATTTGATGTTTTCCTTAGATAATCTGTGAAGAACAAGTGATTTAACCCAGATCATAAATCATTCAGCACTGGCTTGAGCAATGCAAGTGAATGCTGGATCAGACTCCGGGTTTAAAGTAGTCAAGATAGCAACGCAGAAACTCAGTTTTATTACTTTTTTAAATATAAAAAGAAACATCTGCAGATCACATATTAATATCTTAGTGAGTCAGGATTCATTGGAAGTAGGGCTCACAGCTGCTCCCACAGGCAGGCTAAGCTTTAGGGTCCTGAAAATCCCACCTACCAAGAGCCCCTCCCCACCTAGAACACTGCTTCTGCCCAGAATTCCCACTCCTCCAGCTTAAGGCACTGTGACTCCAGGAGCTCCTGTTCAAGCACAGTTCTGTTTCAGACTGAGAATGTCCATTGACTCATTAGTCCTATGGCCGGTTTTCCAGTTTCTTTAGTAGTCACTTTAGAAGGCTCAGTGGAAATAGAATAGAGGTAAGTGCATTCTGACAGAGAGATAGAAGGTAAAATGTAAACCTTAGGGGAAGCTGGGTGAAGGGCCTCCGGGAACTCTTGCACTCTCTTTGGAATTCTTCTGTAAATCTCAAAATTCTTTTCTAAATTTCAAAATTAGAAATCTATACTAAAAGCCTAGGTGGTCCTTACGCCCTCGTGCAATGCTCTCACGTCATCACAAGATGGCCGCCACAAGATGGCCGGAAGGGGAGGGCAGTTGTGGGAAATCAGCCCAGCAGGGGAGGGCAGTTAGGGGTGAACAGGCCAGCAGGGGAGGGCAGTTGGGGGCAAGATCAGGCCAGCAGGGGAGGGCAGTTGGGGGCAACCAGGTCGGCAGGGGAAGGCAGTTGGGGACATCAGGCCAGCAGGGGAGGGCAGTTGGGGGCCATCAGGCTGGCAGGGGAGGGCAGTTGGGGGCCATCAGGCCGGCAGGGGAGGGCAGTTGGGGGCCATCAGGCCAACAGGGGAGGGCAGTTGGGAGGGAGCAATCGGGCCAGTAGGGGAGGGCAGTTGGGGGAGATTGGGCCAGCAGGGGAAGGCAGTTGGGGGTGATCAGGCTGGCAGGGGAGCAGTTAGGCGTCAATCAGGCCGGCATGAGAGCGGTTAGGGGGCAATCAGGCAGGCAGGCAGGCAGGCGAGCGGTTAGGAGCCAGCAGTCCTGGATTGTGAGAGGGATGTCCGGCTGTCTCAGAGATACAATGAAGGAAGAGATTGGGCCTAAACCGGCAGTTGGACATCCTCTGAGGGGTCCCAGATTGGAGAGGGTGCAGACTGGGCTGAAGGATATCCCTCCTGTGCATGAATTTTGTGCATCGGGCCTCTAGTTTATAAATAAAAAAGAATATAAAATAAGAAAATGTCCAGGAAATAGTGTTAATGAAAAATATATAGTTTTATATATAAACTGCTCACAAATTTGTATAGTTATATACCAAATATGCCAAACTATTAGCAATGGTCTCTGTGTGATAGAATAAAAGTTGATTTTCTATTTTCTCTTTACACCTTACTATAAAGCCTTCAAATTTTCTTCAGTGGGAGCTTTTAAACTTTACACATGAAAAAAATAAAGATTAAAGAAACAAAATAAAATAACATCCTCTTTCTAAATGCTCTCGGCCTTAATGATCCCTCTGTGTCTCTGTGGAATGTGGAGGAGGCTGCCCAGGTTTCTTAGCGTGTCCAAGGAGGGCCTCATGGTGGAAGAGGACCTCCCTCTTCAGCCTCATCTCTTGCCTTCTTCCCTTATCATCCTGAAGCACTTGCCAGCCTTCCAGCTGCCTCAGGCCTCAGTGCGGAAAGCCCTTTCCCCCAATCATCTCCTGGTTAAGGGTTGCTCCCTCAGGGTTCAGCCCAGGCCTCCCTTGACATTGACTCAACCCATCCTACCACAGTACCATGCTTGGGCTGATTCTAGCATTTACTGCCCATTGATCTGTCTCACCCACTTGTCTGGGAGCTCCTTGAAGACAGAGTTCTGTGTTATTTCCCACTTTGGAGCATAGCACAGTGCTGGCACCTGAAGGACACTAATTTTATTCAATATATTCATTATCCCCCCTCTAGCCCACCCCATCCTACCTTCCCCTTAGTCTCTATATGCAAAGAGAAACCTGCCTCAGTCTAGTCATACAGTTCTCCAAAAAGGGGGTGACTCTCTCCTGCCTGGGGGAGACTGACCCAGAGGCCTTGAATTCCTGGAAGCCTCTCAAGGGCACAGCAGTTACTGACCCACAAAAGGTTTGTGTGTTCAAAATGCCACCCGAATTTTTTTCTGCTATTTCCCTATAGCTTAACAGCATGCTACCCCACTTGGGAATTGAAAAGGGTGAATCAGGGGTTTCCTTTTCCTCCCAGACCTAGCAAATGCAGTTTCCAGAAGTTAATAGTTAAAAAAAATTGCTTTAAGTAAAAGGAAGCCAGAAAAGTAAGCAGTCAGATTTTCCAGCTCTAATGTGTAGTTTCCCCCACATAAAACCTTTACAAGCTCAAGTCCTTCTTAAGACAGGACTGGGAGACAGGATTTTAAACCATGTTAGAAGCCAAATCTCAAGTACCATGCCTTCAATGCACTGGGTTTAGGGTTTCACAGGCCATAATTTCCCTCCTTTTGGGAGCAGAACAAATGCTCTAAGCAGTCACAACCCACTGCCTTTAATGGGTGCTTCAGGCCGTGCCCCAGTGCCTTTCACAGAGCCTGGTGCATAGTTGGCAGGTAGTAAGCACAAAAATAATAATTGAGTGAATACATAGTCTCTCTTTTTTTTTTTTTTACTTCCTTCATTGTATCAATACAATTATCACTTGGAGAGGGGGAATATTTTAGAGTTCCAGAGCAATGTTGATGGAAGAGGCCTCCTAGTATGTATCTTGATTCATAACCAGGCCCCCTATTCCCTCCCCAGCTGCTGGGGCCCTTTCCCACCTCCTTCATGGGTCCTCTCCTGAAGCCACACCCACATCCACAGCTCCTCTTTCCTCTGTGGTACTCTTCAAACCTTAGAAGACTCAAAGAAGAAAATAACATACACACATTAAGTCCATATTTTGTATTAAATTGTGCCTCTCAGAATGTCACAGCATTTTATGTGTTTTTGCCAACAAGACATTTTGGGGCATAGCTCTTGTCAAAACATTACAGTTCCAAATTAGATTATGAAGAATTTCTTTATAAACTTTCAATACAATAGCATAGTATTCAAAAATAATGAAAATGTATTGAGGCAATGGAATGAATTTCTAACAATGACAGGCTGGTGTGAGGAGAGCAGACACAAGGGTAAAGGGAGGTGATTTGGGACCCGCAGAAGCTGTAATCCATGCTCATGAGCTGACACTAACTCTGAATTCCCATCGTGGTCCTTAAAGATCAGCCTCTCTGTTTCCAAGCAAAAGCAGACTCCCAACACTCTCTGTCACTTCCTCTGGGTTCCAAAGGTGCCTGTGCATTCCCCAAGCGCAGGTGTGGCTTTCCCCCATGGATTATGAGCTCTTCAAAGGCAAGGATTCATCCCATAACCCCAGCACCCAGCAAAGTTGGCCACCTATGAAGTGTTCAGTACATATGTGTAGAATGAGTCAATCTCTCTCCCTCTCCAGGTGCCTAGCTGGGAAGTCCACACACACATAGGTTGGACACAGAAAGAATTTACCCATCAGACACCTCAGCACCTTAAGGCCAATCTTTGGCTGTTTTGTCCACTGCTGTACCCTGGAACAGTGCAGAGCACATATAGTTACCAAGCAGATTTTGAATGAACGAATCTGCTCCATTTGAAAGGGTGCCTTCCTATCCTTGCTATTTCATCTGATGTTCCTAGTAGTCATATACTCTGGCCTCAGATTCATCCCTTCTTTTTATACTGAGTCTCCAGAATGGTGACTTCTTGCCAAAAACCACACACCTCCTAGAACTCAGTGGCCTGCTAGTTCCCATTCCAGGTCCTTCCGAATTGGTCTTCTCCCTCTTCCTTTCCTCTCCTCTTCCTTTTGTCCTCCTCCTCTCCTCTCCTCCTCCTTCTTCTCCCCTATTCTCCTTTTAATTATTTGGGACATGCCAAAAATATAAATTATACCTCAATGATCACATCTCGACCCACCATTCAGTTCACAAATTAAGCTATTGTAGTTATAATTGAAGCCCCTGTAGCTTTTCACTTCCTAAAAGTAGCCACCATCCATATATACATATGTATATACATATACACATATACATATATATACATATATATCTTATTATTATATACACAGTGCATGCTTGTTTTCATGTGGCAACATGGAACCATGGTTCCTTCTTTGTCAGTGCTGTACAATATAATATTCATTGTACACATATATCACAGCTGATTACTTTATATTGTACTAATTAATGGGTAGGTGGTTTTCATTTTCTGCTATTACGAACACTATTGCTATGGACATTTCTGTTATCTTTTAGGCAGGAATAAAGGTGGGTTCCAGTTGGCCCTTGGACAGAAAGTCCAGTTGGCTTTTTCATGAGGACTCAAACAGCTAGCACCCTCCAGCCCTCTCAGACCCAGGACCTCAGGGGCTCAGAGTGGGTGCTGTGTTGGTTTGACAGTGGCAGTGAGGAGGAATGAATTCATTCAAGTTGCCATCTTTTCAGAACCTCCAGCCCTCTGTACAAAACCTTGACTTTATAATAGCATTAAAACTGCCCTGTTTTGGGATATTTCTTTAGCATCCTGGCAGTTCAAGTGCAGGACTGGAGAAAACAAATTTTTGGATTGATCCAGGACTGGGTTTGGAAGAAAAAAAAAAAACTATTTTAAAATTGTGCCTTAGGCAATCTAAAACCATTCAGTCATAACAGCATCTACTTTTCAACTAAAGTCTTGCTTTTTTGCCTCAGCAATTAGTATTTCATTCTGCCTGCCTTTTATTTCTTTTTATTCCCCCAAATCACTGCTTTTGACATAAGTATTGATCCACATCTTATATACTTTGGAGGTGACATTTAAGGATAAGATATAAAGGTGGAAAAAACAACTTTTTAACAGTATATGGTAGCCAAAAGATATAATAATATAAATTGAAATCCTCATAAATGCCCCCAAATCTAGTGAATTAGATTTCTCCTTAAAGCTTACTACTTACAGTAGAAAAGATACTGAATGAAATCCATGTTCCTACCAACAATATTAACCTTGACTCTGAGGTAGTATTTTTTTCACCTTTTTTGGACAGGCATTTTGATATCACATGATATTTTAAAAAGCATTGATAGTCCTCTCGATGTATGAAATCTTCATGTCTTGAAGCTGAAATCCTAGGCAGAACGCCTTTGAGTTCTAACAGTTCCTATCCTTATATCCTACTAGAGGTCACAGGATTCTATACAATTGTTTCAGCACCACCTAGTGGGCATTCTGACTACATTCCTGACTTGAAGGAAAGTAATAAAGAAGGAATGTGACTGGCCAGATGCCTCCCCTCCCTATTGGAGACAGAAATAACAACTTACATAATTCATAGAAATTCATAGAACCTTTTACCCACCCCCAACATTTTAATAATGATCACAGGCTTCTTCTAAATCCATCCTACTTCAAATGTAAAGCCAGAAACAAAAGCCATTATTCTTTTAAAGCCCAAACAATGCTGGGCACACTAAAAGAATTGTGCTTCTGCCCTGGCTAGCGTTGCTAAGTGGTTAGAGTATGGGCCCACACACCATAGGGTCTCCGGTTCCATTCCGAGTCAACTGCATGTACCTGTGTTGTGGGTTCAATCCCTACCCCCAGTAGGGGCATGTGCAGGAGACAACCAGTTGATGTGTGTGTGTGTGTGTGTGTGTGTGTGTGTGTGTGTGTGTGTGTGTCTGACATCGATATTTCTTTCTCTCTCCTCTTTCTCTCTCTCTCTCTCTCTCTCTCTATCTCTCTCTCTCTTTCTCTCTCTCTCTTCGCCCTTCTCTCCCTTCCACTCTCTCTGAAAGCAATGGAAAAATATCCTCATGTGAGGATTAACAAAAATAAATAAATACATGCATACATACATACATGCATACATACATACATAAAAATAAAAGGATTGTGCTTCTGCTCCCATACACTCAACTCTTATAGCTCAGCAACCCCTCTTTAAATAACAGGCTTCATTGTGTGCATCTCTCACATCTTTTCTGGACACAGTTAAGCATAATCTGTCCTTCGTTTTCTGTGTCTGGACTTCATTTATCTTTCCATTTCTAGCCTTTATTAATTTACAACCTTTTCTTGCTTCATTTTTTTAGTGACCTCTGGTTCCCTAAACTATTATTGATTCAAGCAGCATATTCCAATGCTAATAAGAAATGCTTTAAACAATTAACAAAACAGTTTGTATTAGTATCAAATCAAAGGTAATTTAAAAACATTTAATGGGCCCTAGCCAGTTTGGTTCAGTGGATAGAGCATTGACCCGTGGACTGAAGGGTCCCAGATTCGATTCCGGTCAAGGGCACATGCCCAGGTTGTGGGCTTGATCCCCAGTAGGGGGAGGAAGATGCAGGAGGCAGCCAATCAATGATTGTCTCTCATCATTGATGTTTCTATCTCTCTCTCCCTCTCCCCTCATTTAATGATCCAGCTGATGTGGCTCAGTGACTGAGCATAGACCAGATGGTCACAGTTTGATTCCCGGTCAGGGCACATGCCCGGGGTTTCAGGCTTAATCCCCAGTGGGGGGCATGCAGGAGGCATGTTTCTATTCCTCTCTCTCTCTCTCTCTCTCTCTCCCTCTCCCTTCCTCTCTGAAACAAATTTTTAAAGAACATAAACAAAAAATAAAAACATCTAATGGCCATTTAAATAAACCAGAACTTAAATTCCTAATTTGAGAAATAAACAATTTTAAATTGAGGGTCTAGCATATGACACTTATTTCGTAGTACTATTAAGTCATTAACTGCAAAAAGCTTGAGAGTCATCTGGTTCTGTACCACGCTATAGGAATCCCTCCTAATTTCCAAGTAGGCAACCAATCTCTGCTTGAACACTTCCTGGGAGAGAGAATAATTTAGTCTGAAATGAAGGAAGGAGAATGGGCTCCAACATCAAACAAATTCAAGTTCTAATCTTCGCACTTGGCAGTAACTAGCTTTGCGACCCTGGGTGAATAGCAAAACCTCTGAAATGTCCATTTTATCATCTGCAAAATAGTTTAGTTGCGGGTTGAGGGGAAAAGTAAAGACTCCAATTCACATGATTCTTCTAAGAAGTAAATGAGATAACGTGCTGCCCCTCACAAGCAGCTCTGTTTACTCAGACAGCGCTTTTATTTGCCTCCCTGTGTTTTCCAACGATTGACACTGCTTTTACCTGAACTTCTCTTTCTTGGACAGTTTTTCAAGTATACAAAAACCCTACGTCTCCAACGTCTGGCCTCACACCGTCTGACCATACTGCTTAACTTAAATTTTCCTTTCTCCAGGTTACATTTCTCTCCATGATTCTTTTTTTCTTTTTAATATAGTTTATTGATTTTTTTTTTTACAGAGAGGAAGGGAGAGGGATAGAGAGTTAGAAACATCGATGAGAGAGCAACATCGATCAGCTGCCTCCTGCACACCCCCTATTGGGGATGTGCCCGCAACCAAGGTACATGCCCTTGACTAGAATCGAATCTGGGACCTTTCAGTCCGCAGTCCGACGCTCTATCCACTGAGCCAAACCGGTCAGGGCTCTCCATGATTCTTTATAGCAATGCTTCCCAAACTTTTCATGTGGTAACACTCTTAGAAAGTGATAGGATTTGTATGGTACTGAGCTGGATGAGGTGGCTCAAAGTCAACAGGTTTATGTAGACTCTCAGAGGGACCCCAGGAGGATGGAGCCCACTAGCCCTCTACAGTAACCTGTTTATCAAGGTACCTTAATGGCATTCTTCTCTTGCCAGTCTTACCTTCCCATTCCTGATCATGCTTGCTGAGATCACCTCCAAAACAAATTATTTGTACCCAAATTCTTATCTTATCATCATAGACAATGAGTACCCAAAAAAGGGG